GCATTAAAATTACTCATATATCCTTGCATCAAATTAAACACTTCATTAGACAAAAGATAATATTATAAAAAATTATGTCTAATTTGATGTCACATCACGGGATGCACATGTTTCTTCTACTCTCATCCAACCATTTCCAAACAGAGAATAAGATACGAAAGAGTAATGTTTGTAAACTACAAATCTAACATAATTTACTAACATAATGAGGGTGTTATGGGGTTTATTAAAATAAAGGAAATAAACAAGGGCAATAGCATAACCTATCGGCCTCAACTAAGACCATAGCGACCCATACATAAGCTGTCCAATACCTTTCTTACTGTACGGTCTTTCATTTCAATCTATGGGCAAGAGTTGTTACGTTATTGCTTGATTTACTTAATTCCCGATTTTTTATTGCAAGAAACGAGGAAGAAAGAAGAACCTTGACTCAACCGATTCAGGAAAAGAAAGTGACCAGTGATGCTTTAAGGAAAGACGCAGAGCTACTAGCTACTCAATTGATTGCTTTCTAACTGAATGGTATCAGTGAATTAGATCAATAAATTAGACCAAATAAAATAATTCAATAAAAAAATATCATATTCTTATCCAAATCTATTACAAAAGCTGTGCCAATCCTTTGAACCAGTGCCCATTCAGCAAAATTATTAATTGCATGTTCAAGGGGTCAAATCTATTGTGTAAATTGGTGGAAACAGTCAAAGCCAAACTCAATGGAGGAGGCAAAAAAATTCTTGCTAGAGCTTTCCATTGGTGGACAAGTTACTCGATACCCACTTTGAAAATTTTACAAAACCTCATTGTCTTAGGTTTGAATCCAGTAAAGGTTGTTGGAACTTGAAGATTCCTCAATTTTCATTCAATCACAGTGAAAAAGACCACACCCACCACCACTATAACCAGCGTACCCACCGCCACTATAAAGAATTTTTATTTTTTTTATTCTATATAAGGTCGTAGTAAAAAGTGCCCGATGTAAAAAATTAACTTCTGCCTATTACCGAAATAAAAATGTATTAGCATAATTAAATTATCGAAGTTAAAAAAATTGAAACAAAAAGATAGGCATTTGTTTCGGCATTTTGTGCCGAAGCAAAAATGACTATTTGCTTTAGCATTTTGTGCCGAAAGAAATTACTGGAATAAATTCAAAATTTTTTGCTTCGGCCTATTGTTGATGCAAATATTTCATTTTTTACTTCAGTTTTGCTAACCGAAGCAAAAATTCATTTTTTGCTTTGGCATAAATAACTTTGAAGCAAATATTCTATTTTTAGCTTCAACCTTCCTAACCGAAGCAAAAATTCATTTTTTGCTTCGACATTTGCCCCAAGCTAACAACTTTTTTTCTTGTAGTGTACCCACCATCATTTTGGATCACAAAGAGTCACTTTTGGTGGGTGAGAAATGGCACTTTGCTTCCGATGAAAATAGGAACCTAACAATTTTAGCTTTGGTTAGAGGTGCACAGCACTTGATTCATTTGTCATGCAAACCAGCCAAAAATATGCTTAGAGAAAAAAGAAAACATGACAGAGAACAACCCTTAACGGGATGGGTTCAAAATCCGGATCACTCAAATTACTAAACACTAAAACCCTACCTTTATGTTGATTAGGTTTGGAACTGGTATCACAAATATGAATTCAACATCACTTGATTGTGCGTGTACGGATTTATACACGAAACTAAGTCACACTTCTTAAAAAATAATGACATTTAGTATGTATGAATGCTTAGTTTTATGCAATTTTGTATAATAGTTAAAACAATATAAGA